AGCTTTGCCAGAGCGACATAACCACTCAGAGTGGGAACTTCAGGATTCAGCTCTGCATCTAGCTCTGGTTCAACCCTGCCATCCATCATACAGGAATGAGGTTCCAACCTTCAACTGTGCGGTGGCTATAAGGTCTGTCCCATATCCTGATCTCTGTGTATTACGTGGTCCCTTCTGTGGTGACAAGGAACATGTTGTGGACTTAAGTCCGAGTCCTACAAAAGCTAATACATACACTTAACTTCTTATTTAACTCCAGTTTTGTCTACTCTGCCCATGACAGCCTGATATATATCAGAGAAGCTGGATTTCTTTGATCTAGCTACCATGGGAACCAGTGCACCAATGATGCCGTAATACAGACCAGCACAAGCCCGACAGGGACCCTGGCTACACACCTGGGGCTTCTATGGTGCACTGAAAACTGGGCTCTGTGTTTTCAGTGCAGATGTAATCCCTAATAGCTAGACTAATGTTAACAGTGGTACCCATATCTTCCTTTGTCCTGCAGCCATATCCTTTCAGCAGCACCTGACTGGAAACTTAAGTTGCAGCCTTCATCCTCATCCTCATGCACCTTTAAACCAAAATAACTCATTCAAACAAAGGCTTAAAGGTCAAACCCTCTAGACCTGGTTTTGCAAACCCTTTTGTACATGGCTTTTCCCCTTGTCTAAAAAAAACCCAGCTATTCTCATCAGGAAATGTTGGCAAAAAGGGTTTAATTACAGAAATAATTTTGCTCCCTATGGAGAAAGCATGAGGAATGGCGTATTTCCACATTTGAATTGCACATTCATCAAGAAAAAAGTGATTTCCCCTTAAGAATGTCTGGAGGAGTAGAAAAGAGCATTGAACCCTGGGGTGTATATTATTTTATAGTCTCTGAAAGGCAAATGGTTTCACTTCCATTGATTAAAATATGTGAGCTTTTCCCTCTGGATTACTCTCCTGGAAGTAGGAAAAAAAAAACCCTTTAGTAGTGGCTGTCAACTAGTTCAGCGTCTCTTGGCAAAGGGCTTACCCAACCACCAAAGACAGTTCTGCTGCTGAACTTCTTCAGCAAGAAACCTTTGACCACAGCAGATGTTGCTACTTTTTTTGCTTGATGAATGGGCACTTTACGCTAGGTGTTTTCATTGTTTCATTGGAGCAAATGTCAATATGGAAACACAACTTGACATCAGGACTATTAAGCGCTAATTCGAGAGACAGCTCCAGGACTTGCTCGTGTTGTCTCCTAGCACGCAAGGTCTAATAGGCTCATACATTAGTCTTTTCAGTCACTTTCTTGTTCCACAGACGTAACTTCTTTACAAATTCCACACAAACACTTTCTGAAAGAGAGTTTAACTTAATAGCCTCTGTTCGCGAGGAGCATTTCAACTGTGCAAAGCTACTGTGGGTGCAGGACTCGGGCTCAACATGGCAGGCTGATGGACATCAACATTTTGAAATGTACGTCTTCATAAAATAAGCTCCAAATCGGTATGCAGCACACTTCTGCAACAACAGTGTTTCTCTGTGGATTGAAGCAGGGCGATTTTCCTAAAAAAAGTTGTTTTTCCCGTTAGGTTACTATTGTGGTTTTTTTTCTTATTCCAAGAGCATCATTGTTTAGTTCAGTCAACAGGGAAACGCCAATTACTCAAACAGTGCTGATCTGTTAAACATGATTTACCAACCATAATTCAGACAAAAGCTATTCTACTTCACACTTCAGTTTACTAGTTTTCTTTAAATAATTATGTCGGAGTTTAAAAAAGAATAACATAAACCAAACATCTGGAGTGAACCCACAGATCAAATGGAATAATTTCAAAGTTGCAGTAAAGTACTGCAAATAAGTAAGAAGAATAAGAACAAGAAAAAACAAAAGTTATATACAATTGGAAGTGAAGATGTTCCATTTCCTTTCTAAAATCAAATGCAAACTGCTCATGTGACTGATTTAGTATTGAACAAGAGAGGGAAAATTGCCTCTTGGCATTTAAATGGAAATGTTTCTTGTTCAGAAATTTTGGAAGCTTGCATACTGTATGATTTTTGAAAGGCTTATACAATTACCATTGAATTTGGATGAGGTCTATTCCTAACAATATATATATTTCTCAATTAAACTTTGCCATTCCAGAGACCTAAATTACCTTTGTCTAGAATCTAGATTCCTGATGTGGAATATATTCCAGAGGCAATAAGACCGATGCAAATGTATTTCATTTTTAATATGCATGACTGAAAAAAAAAGTGAACAGCAGCAGCTATTTTGCAAAGCAGACCTTTATGTTGAGAACTCTGCTGTTTAAGATGATGTTCTGATTTTCTGTGTGCCTTTTTACTCTCATTTCTGGGTTTGGAATAAAACACAGTCTTACCTCTTGCTTTCCACAAAGGCTGGAAATTTTAGGACTAGGAAAAAAAAAAAGCAGAACACAGCAGTCTTGCACCTGGCTGATTTAAAGGTATGCCATGAAGAAGACAATTCCCACGTAACTCAAAGCGCTGCGTGAAGTACTGCAGTCCATTACATTCAGCAGGCTTCTTACAATGCAGTTTTAGGGCCTAATCCAGTATCGCTCCAAGATTTGTGACATCAACATCAGTAGAGGCTGTTGCTGGAAAGTTTTGTAAATTTTGAGGAGGGACTTGAAGCAGAAAAGTGTGATTATGTGGTGAATGGGAAAACGATAGGCTGAGTGTAAATGGCAACAGGTGATGAATCAGGGAGGAGTTCTTGGGGACTTGCCCAAGGTCAGGCAGTGAAGCTGTAGCAGAGCCTGAAACTTAGCAACACCAAAACCATTTCTCCCCTCAGACTATGTTGAACAGCATCATTAAATAGCTCTAATTTCCTGTCACTACAGTTTAAAAACAAAACAAAACAAAACTAATAACCCACAAATATTTAAAAGGCAACTGGTAACACTGATCTTCTTCACAAAGAAGTAGACTTAAATTATGCAGCTGAAATCTTGCAGGTCTTCTTCCTGAGAATTTGATTTTAATTATTAAACAACACAATTATGTAGCAGTGGTGGTAGTAGTAGTAGTAGTAATAATAATAATAATAATAATAATAATATCATCTCCTGACACCACTGTGGAGGATGCTCCCTGATCCCAAAAGCAAGACAATATACAAGTTACCTAAATAAGGGCAGGGGAGGAACAGAGGTTTCTTCTTCCTCATCACATGTGCTGAAGCTGGAGCCCAGCTGGCCCCAAAAGAAAGAGAGGCTTACCATGGCCAGGACGTGAAGGCACCACCCAAGGCAGCTCTCCTTCCCATCCTTGTCCCCATCCCATTCACCTGCTGAAGTCAGCACCCACCCCTTCTCAGCCCCATGCCTATTCCATGCCTATGCTCAACCTGTGCTCAAGCCCAATCCATGCCTATCACATGCCCAAGCATATTTGCTCTCCTCCCTATTACCCTTTAATGCTTATGTCCACAACCAGTCTATCATCATCATGCTGAGACCTATGTTCATGCCCATGCCCACCCCTTCCCCATGCCGCTATCCATCCCCTCACTACATGCTGTACTACTACCCCCTTGCCATGCCACATCCATGTCCACATTGTAGCCATGTTATGCCTGTCCATGTCTAAGTCCATCCCCTCCCCATGCCTATGCCATGCCCAACCCTTCCCCATACCCATGTTATACCTATGCCTTCCTTAAGACCATCCCTTCCTCATGCCCATGGCATGCCCATAATTCTGTCCTCCCCTGTCCCATGCCATGCCATGCCTACAACTATGTTCTACCCTGCCCCATGCCTATGCCACGACTGTCATGCCCATGCCCATGCACATTCACTTCTCATACTAATGCCTATCCCTTCCCCATGCCCTTGCCATACCCATGCCCACCTTCTCCCCATGTCCATGCCATGCCCATGTCTATATCCACCTCTGCCCCATGTCTATGCCATGTCCATGCCATGCCTATACCAACACGCATGCCCAGCTCCACTCCTTGTCTATACTGTGTCCATGTCTGTCCACCCCAGCCCCGTGTCTGCTATGCCAAATCCATGTCCATGCCCATGCCTATGTCCCACCACCCCATGCCTATGCCATGACTATGGCATGCCCAAGCCTATGTCTCCCCATGCTTATGCCATGACTGTTTTATGCACATGTCCATACCCATACCCAGCTCACCCCTGTATCCATGCCATGTCCATGCTTATGTCCACCCCTGTCCCGTACCTATGCCTTGACTGTGTTATGCCCATGCCCGTGCCCATGCCCATACCCAGCTCCTCCCCATGTCCATGCCATGCCTATGTCTGTGTCCACCCCTGGTCCATGCCTATGCCATGTCCATGCTATGCCTATGCCCACACACATGCCCAGCTCCACCCCATGTCTACGCCATGCCCATGTCTGTCCACCCCTGCCCCAGGCCTGTGCTATGACAATTCCATGTCCATGCCTATGTCCCACCACCCCATGCCGATGCCATGACTATAGCATGTCCATGCCCATGCCTATGTCCTCCCATGCTTATGTCATACATGTGTCATGCCCATGCCCATACCCAGCTCACCCCCGTATCCATGCTATACTCATGCCTATGTCCACCCCTGCCCCATGCTTATGCCGTGACGGTGTCATGTCCATGCCCATGCCCATTCCCATCTCATACCCATCTCCTCCCTATGCCCAAAACACTCCACGCCCGTTCCCACCCAAACCGCATATCCACGCCATGCCCATGCCCTTGCCGCAGCCACCCCAGTGCCCACACCATGCCCACGGCGCGTCACGCTGAGCCGAGCCGAGCCAAGCAGCAGCCGGCCGCATGTGTGGCAGCCCGGAGCGCCGGCTCCTGCCTCCCATTCATGTAACCTGTGTGTGTCTCTCTTTCTCTCTGTGTGTAACAGAGAGAGGGAGAGAGAGAGCGAGGCAAGGAGAGGAGGAGGAGGAGGGGGGAAGCTTTAAATAAAGCCTTTGGATTGCAGCTGCTTATTTTGGGCAGTCCTACCAGGGACGATTCCTGCCAGGAAAAAAGCTGGACCGGTGCATTTTTTTATCATTATTATTATGATTTATTTTGATTTTTGATTTTTGGGGGTGGCGGTGGTGTATTGCCTAGCTGCCTGCTGAGATGAGCTTCGGTGCCTGGCTGTAGTTGCCCACTTTGGGATCGCTGGACACATAAGTGGCATTTCGGTGGGGGGAAGCCTGCAGACATGGTAAGCTTTGCTTTTTGCTCGAAAAGTACATTTGTGCGATCGCCTCCCTCCAGTTTTCCTTTCCCCCTTTCCTCTTCTCACCAAACAGACAAGCACACGGGTTGGGGCTGGGGAGAAGCTCCCTGAATCCCTGATTTTTCCTCCCCACCATCCCTCCCTCTGCCCAGCTTGCTTTTCTCCCCTCGCATCCCAGCCCTGCTGCTCCCTTCGCGCACAGTTTGCAGCAATTCAGCA